CAATGTTTTTACCAACTTTCACTAGAATCTTTGTGAAAGTTAGTGTCCCACGTTGGGCGTTGGTTTAACATAAAATAAACATTAGAGAGTTTTAGATTGACGTTCATCATTACGGCAAACCGCAAACCGGTAGTCGACGTACCCGTTACAAGTTTGCATTTCGGATTTTAAAAACGATTTAGATTTAGGCCTAAGGTTTTAACTTCCAAAATGTGAACTTAATCGGTGGGCAATAGCATCCCAATCTATTGGCTTTTGTGTTCGGCAGCTTGCAACCTCCCTAGCCAATACAAAATCATGTTATATGCTTGGCCAACGAAAGGGTTTCGTGGTCATGATATTTTTCCAAGCTCTGTGTTAGACACAAACAGGGACGCCGGAACGATAATAGGGCAAAGGGGGGCGGACGCACACCAAGGGCACCTTTACTGAAATTTTTTTTTTCACTGCAAGCCAAAAATTCCGTGAAGCCAAAATTTTTCTGGATATCTTAAATTTTCGCCATTTCTTCAAAATATTTTTCTAAATTCCAAAAATTTCCCAAAATTTTTATAAATATAAACTATAAATTACCTGAATCTCGTGATTTTCCTACAAAAAGCATCGTTGGAAATGTGATTTATCACGTATTATTTTACAACTAAAAGGGCACTTCTGCCCCCCCCCCTGCCCCCTAGCAAAAGGCAAGGGGGGCAGCCGCCCCCCTGCCCCCCCCCCCAGTTCCGGCGTCCCTGGACACAAACAGATTTTATATAAAATTCGCAACAAAATTAGCCTAACAGTAAAACTTTAGATCTCAAAATTATGAGAAAAACAAATAACAACAAAAACAATGTAAATCAGCTATGCATTTGGGCTATGCATTTACCCGCCATTTTGTTCATTGACATCGACTGAATTCGACACAATATTTCAGTCGAAGATAGTAGTTTCATATAGTAGTTTCAAGAAAGAAAGTCATAGTGATAATAAACATAAGTGTCATGTTTATACGCGAGAAAAAGAACAAAAAAAATGCATGAAAACCTTGAGGGAAACTACCAACCTGAAAACAGGCTCCCTCGCGTAGAAACGTCTACTTCGAACGTGTAACCTGACGGGAAGATGGCTGTCACGTGATTTTTAGCCGTTTGCGGTTAGCGGGAAATGCGAAAATACGTCAATCTAAAACTCTCTAATAGAGATTAACTACAAAATTACTGCATAAATAAATTCTTCCTTGGGTTCATGCACTGGCACTAGCTTTCAGTCTGCCATTTTGTTTTTTCCTAAAAACGGGCGTTGTTTTCGGGCGTCTTGTGGTTATACAACCAAAGATCTACTAAAATTATGCTGAACTAGAAAAAAATAAATGTGAATTGTTCGTTACACAATGTAGTGACTCATCAGCTTCCGATGATTCACTACAATAAACGTATTTTCATGTTTCAAAATATATTACTTAATTGGGTTTTACTCATGAATGGTGACCAGAGGTGACCTAATGTTGAATCTTTTTGTAAATCATAATTTCGTATGAATTTTATTTTTAGAAAGATGATTGTTAAAAACCCGATAAGTGGCTTAACAAGCGAATCATTAGAGGAGGCTTATGGGCAGGAGGTTTCTCTGTTTTTGCATTGTCATCTACGAGGTTATGACCGTTCTGGACAGGGATTTCACGGGGATACTGGTAATTAGGATATTACTGTTATTAATATTGTCTTATAGTAGTATATTTTTCGAGGCATACAAAATTATTTGGGGTGACACACCCAGTGGCGGAAATCTTGGTGGGGCAGGGGGGCGGTCGCCCCCTCCACCACCTTCACGGAAAATTGCCGAATTTTCGGAAATTTTGACCTAAAAGAGGGCTAAAAACAGTCTTTTTGAGTGCAAATGGGGGGTTGTCGGAAATTTGAAAGTTTTGTCGGAAATTTAGGAGGCTTTGCCCCCCCCCCACCGGAGAAAGTGAATTTCCGCCCCTCGATTGCGATAACGTATCAATCATTAATCTTGGACGGGTTGTTTTCAATAGCAATAAGAAAGTTTTTTTCTGCGTTGGTGTTATGTGTACTCAGGTGAATATGATGTATGTGATGTTTCTGAGTGTATATCCACACCAGGCAAGCTTGAAAAATAATGGGCTAGTATTCCAAAGGTCGTAGGTTCGATTTCCACCGTGGCCAGGCATATTTTTCAAGCTTGCCCAGTGTGGATATACACTCAGAGTAACATCACATAATAATAAGAAAGTTTCGGATTTATAGGGATACAACTACCTGAAAAATACAAAGATCGTATCAATCCGAAGCCATCGATTATTAAAGTCATCTATTAGGAAGCCATCGATTATTAATCTCGCGTGTAATGAAAATTAAAATGAAGACGACTGGTACAGTTTTTCTGAGCAGCACTGATTGAACATTACGTTCTGGATCATTTACAAACTATTTTAACGAATTGCACTAGCATGAGTTTAATTTCGTATAACTTATTTGACATTATATAACGCGAAAACTATAGTTTACTGCGGTTATATTATCGCAGGCTAGCAGTCCTAGCAGGACAACGAAATCGGCCACTGTATTCTTGAAAATCATATTTATCATATCTGTCCATAGAGTACTATGATAAATATGGTGCTCCTGTGGGCATGCAAAATTCCTGGCAAGAGGGGTATCATGACATTGAAAAAAAATTGGCAGATCATTTCAAAACCGTGGTTGATCACCAGTTAAAGTTCCCAGTGGTTGCTGGAATGGGCGGAGGGGTTCATATTTACAAGCCCTTACACTGCAATAAAGAGAATAAGGAGCCTTGGAACTGGACTGGTTGGATACCAAGACCAAAAATTTGGTTGTATCAAGGATGTTTCTTTACTAATAGGTGGGCTCAATTTACTATATATTGTCGTAATAACTAAGTCATGGCCATTTGAGAACAAATTTACTTTAAATTTTTCGTTCTATCGATCATAGATGCTGTATTGGTATTTTGTCTAAAATCTGATTGAGTTTAATTCTATAATAGAGTTGAAAACAATACAGATTAGGATATAAGCAAATATTACTAGTCCTCAGCTGTAAGGACAACGGTATTAATGTTTCCCAGTTGCTTTTCCATGACCAAGTATTTAAATAATTTTGCGCCCAGATGTTTCCTGGGCCTACGTGGAAATGAGATTCAGAACAATCTCTGGGACTACCACCCTCACGAAGAACAGGAGGGAGAAAACCTACAGGTAGATGAGTTGATGTACAGTCAGATTGAACCCAATGATAGATACAGAGGAGGATATTGGTTTCAGAACGAACCATTTGGTCGATATCTCCACATCTTTTCTCTCAAATCCCATGAAAATGACCCGAAGGTAAGCTTTGAAAACATTAAAATTTAGCTTTCCTGCTTACCACGGATCCTGTTCAAGATCCTACAAGATCTTAAAATGTTAATCCTAGTTTCCAGTTAGAAACGCCTTTAAAAATCCTAAGTCAGGATCCTGCCAATAAAAAATATAATAGCCAAAATCCCCTAGAATCCAACATCATTGATTTTTTATTAGTCCAGGATCCCGGAGAGATGGTTAAGTGAATCCTGCATGTTCTTGTATAAAATCTTAAAAAGGATCTTGTTTCAGAATCCTATAAATTTCTATAGGATATTTGAGGCTTGGGTTACAAGATCAAGTTACCTCGAAATGCCTGGAAAAGAGCTTTGATATTTTGTTTAAGAACGGATATAATGTAAACGTAGAATTTTGAGAAATTGCGTTGTTTATTGGGCTTAGGCACGAACCCAATGAGTTGCGACGGATCGGACGAATCGAATCATTCCAAAATATAGTTTTGCTCTATACCAACATATAGACATAGTCTTTGAAACATCAAGTTACGACTGTCTCCATTTTATAGTTTAAACTGTTGGCATTTCTGTTTTATTTAACGTTTCGTTTTGCAATCCAAAAACTGTTTTATTATTGAAGAAAACGGGTCCCCCCGTCCCTAGATGAACAGGCTTCCTGATTGGCAGATTATAACAAGAAGAGACCGTCAACTATAGAAATCATATTTATTAAAATATCAGTCACAAAAACTGATCACTTTCGCTTTAGAAAACTTGTTTGTATTAGTTAGTATTACTACGCCCTGGTATTACCAAAAAAGCCACGAACCTGAAATATTAAATCTGATCACGATCGGTAAATGAGCGGTGTGGTAAAACATGATTGATTGGCAACTATTTTATTTTCATTTGATTTTCACCAATTTTACGTAACCTTTGGCTTAGTTGAGAAGTGAACGCTCAACAACACCAGTTTCTCGATCTTCGGTACTAACACCAGGCAGAATTAATGAATAACCCCCTAACGGCTAACGTACGTGTATTTCCTTGTAGACAAATACATCGAGTATGAGATATAACTATATTGTTCATCCTCTGGCATACAGAGCTGCTATTAACACAATACCAGATAACAGCGTGGATGCAATGCAATGGGCCATCATAAATATGCCTAATGAAACGCATTTTGGCGAAGGAAAACCATGGGGTGAGAAATGTCACGGTTTGGAAATTTTCAACGATTTCACGTAAGTGTCGAGATACGACAAGCCACAGTTATTTTAATAGATGGTTTGGAGACTCGTAAAGCACAATATAACTCATTAAGTAGGTTATACAGGGTGTCTAAAAAAAAACCAAAATCATTGAAATTGACGTATTGTTCGATATTCAATGCCCTAGCACTAAGTTAATCCCACGAGTGCATAAAAGATTGACATAACTGCTATAATGAATGGTAATACTCAGCGTAAACTTGTTATGTCAGGCATAAAGTACTA